AAAAAAACCAAATGAATTTCGACCCCATTGTAGTTCTCAATCATTTCATCGCACTGGGCATGGCTGAACCATCTACGATGGGGGGAGCAACGATGAACAGGGGAGAAGCTTAAATACGAGGATACGCTCTCACATCAGTTTTTTTGTAGAAAGCTCGACATTTCACCTACATAGTGGATTGGGTGGTGCAATTGATTTTTCCACCTTCTTTCTATGATTTCTACCACTGTAGAGACAAAACTGCACTTCTCCTGAATAGATCTCTTCGTTTTCTCTATCCCTTCATAAAGGATCCCCAAGGTGGATTTCTTGTCACCATCAACCATTCATAATAGTGTTACTAAAGAAGGACTTGTGAAACCGATGTTGGCACACCTGCCCTAGAATATCTTATCAGAGATTATGGCCTCAACATTTTGTCCCTCACGAGACTTTGGAAGTTTGTCCTTTGTCCACTCCTCATTAGTGAACATCCTATTCCATGCAGTTTGCCATTGTACAATAAAGTTCATGACCAAGTAGTCCATCACGAAACGGGTATAGCGGGCTTGATTAACTCTCTGCCAGTATACTATCTCATTAAATAAAGGATTCTGGAGTGGTTATAGATAAATTTTATGATTGACCTTGCCGATGCGAGACCCTCTTTCACATTCTTGAGCCCACCAATCTCCTCCACTATGAGATCAATATAATGGGCAGTTCAAGGGGTCCATACCAAAGCCCTAGTATTAACTTTTTTCCATCAATTTCAACCTTGTTGAAACACAAGCCCTGGTTTTATTTGTAACAACCTGAACCACATGCTTCTCTTCCACATTCTCAATTATTTTGTCAAATAGTTGTGCAATGAACTTCACTTCTTTCTATCACCCAAGAGATATCTCTACTGAACAAGAAGGTCGTACCATGTGGGAAATAAACTAGAAAGTTTAATTAGTTTTTCTAATTGACTTTGTCCCACCAACCGTCACTCATGATGGTGACTTTAAGATCCGCAATCCATTTTTAAAATATTTTCTACCTCCGCATCCAAGATTGCCCCACTAAGCGCATATATTGTAGGGGGCTTTACCCCAAGGCATGCTTTTTGAATTTTAGCGACCATAGAGGGTAAAATGGGCTATTGTCTAAATTAAAAGGGATCACATTATCATACCACCATTTTCCTATGCACCTTGCCATTAAACTACGTGCACCTTTTATCATGCATTTTAGGATCATTTGTTGAGATTTATGTTTCAAGGCTAATGAATCACCCTCAACCATTGGCCCCATCGATCTACTGCGTGCTCCTCTCATGCTAGATAGACTAGGAGTAATGTCCTCTACATCGTGGGACCAGGCTGCTCCAAACGACCCCTCTGCTGTTGAACTGGCATCAGGTGCCCCTGTGCTAGGCCCTCCATACATGCTCGGGTCGCATCTCCGTGCATGCATGGCCAGACCCTCCATATATACTCAAGGTGGGTCCTCCATACAATTCAGATCGAAGCCTCCATATATAATTATCCGCTCTCTTGCTGGTGCACTTCATCCAAGCTGGCTCTCATTGCAATGTCCGTGTCGTGGTCGAATTACTGGTTTGGATGTACCCCACCTGAAGGCACATCTAGGCTGACGATCTCCTCATTCATCTTCTCTTTCGCTATCTTCTTATCCTTATAAGCCTTGAGAAGAGCCGCCATCTGTTTCCTGTTACCAAGTACATGGATGCACAGAGCAACTTCCCTCCTTACTCCTACCAAATGTTGCTTGAACCAGTTTATGCCACTACTTATGATCTTTTGACAATAGTTACGAATTACTGTCTTTCCTGTTTGGATTAGGTAGCCCTCCATACATGCTCAGATCAGGCCCTCCATACACGCCCAGACCGCTCTCCTGCCAATGCACTTCTTCCAAGCTGGCTCTCATTGCAATCTCCATGTCGTGGTCGAATTACGGGTTTGGATCCACCCCACCTGATGGCACATATAAGCTGGCAATCTCCTCATTCATCTTCTGTTTGGCTATCTTCTTACCCTTGTAAGCCTTCAGGAGAGCCACCATTTGTTTCGTGACGTTGGCAAGTACATGGTTGAACGGAGCGACCTCCCCGTAACCCTTGCTAAATGCTGCTTGAACTGATTTATGCCACTACTTATGCAATAATTACAAATACCTTTGTCTTTCTTGTTTGGATCAACTTTGACCTGATGTTGCCATGCAGGGTCATCCTTAGATTTGGACATCATAAAAACTGTTGAGTATGCAAATGGTCATAAAATCATACTGAATGTTCGATTGGACTATAAAAACTATTTTACCATTTTTTTATTTTTGAAAAAATATCATGGAATTTTCATGACCCACTAATGTCCCTTGAGTCAAATGACATCCATGCTTTGAACTTCAAACCCAGAATATATTTTTTCATTTAAAAGTTATGTTCTCATTTCTATTCTATGTGATTGACTTGATGTGGGATGCAACCATCTTTCATTTTTACAAATATCCCAGTTACATGTAAACACTATAATAATTATATAGCCAACACAAGGACAAAACCTAGAGAAACAAACTAGTGAAAACGGTGTAGGTTTTTTATGTTCCTAGCCCAAATATTGAAAATGGCTAACAAATTGAGACGAGGGTTTAGTACATAAGTGTAACAACACCGAGTAGCAGACGGTTGTCTTAAATAACCAATCTTCCATAGCATGGAAAATAGTTAAGTGCATGAAATCACTAGAAAAGGACAATATAAGCTTTTACATTGAAGGTTTTTTTGTTTTTTTGAAAAAATAAAAATATCTTGGAGGTATTATTTACTACCATAGATTGCAACCAACGATCTATGTTGAGTCCTAGATGACGTTTTCACAACCAATGCTTGCTCCAAGGAGTCAAAGAGAGATCATGTATATGTTTAAGTTGGGTTTCCACGTAACAATATAACTCCAAATTTGCATTTTAAACTTTTAAAGTATCATTTGTGGATAAAGGAACAGCTTGATCCCCACAATAAACAGCCCTTAGTTGCTATAAGAAAAAGTAAGTATTCTCGCATAAGTCAAATTAGAGTAATAAGCCTGCATTCTCCAAAGAATATTTCCAGCACAATACAAAATCAAATTGTAGGATAAGAATAAGATACTATGAAGTGAGCATGGAACATCACATTTTTACAACTATCCGAGTCAAGAATAACTTAATTATATATCAAGAACATATATTTTTATTGCATTAAAAAAATTGACGATAAAATTCATAAATTTTTTTTTTTTGAAAAATACAAGTTTTTTCCCCTTGAAAATTATAAATTCATGACATAAAACTTAACATAATTACAAAAAAAAAGAAGAAGTATTTTTAGCATGAATGTCTTAAGAACATATATTTGTCAAATCCCTAATTTTAATCAGGAAAATAATTTAAAAGTAATTACTCAAAAACCCTATAATGTATCAATATGTATCTTGCAAAATCGACCTAGAAATCGTGGTTAATAAGTCAAATTAACTTCATGATCTTGTGGAGAAAATTAATTGCTTCAAAACGCTCCAAATTTTCTTTAAAAATCGACCTACAATCCTTGCTTACTCATACAAATAACCTCCACGATCTTCTGAAGAATACCATGACCTTCAAAATCCCTCTTATATCATTCTATTGCCTGAAATCCATAGTTTGGCAGAAGAGGTGGAAGCTGTGAAATGTTTTTGAAAAAACGATGCCGGAAGTTCGATTTCTTGATTTCAATGTATTGATAGTATCTTTTATAGTGATAGAAACACTTATTGATGCCCAATCATTCAATGAAAAAGCCTACAATCGATCAATTCAGTCAATAATACACCAAAAAAGGTAACGTGAAAAAAATATTGTTCAAAAGGGGCTTTTCACGGACTCGATGATTCCTTCCATTATATTGCCGATCTGTGACATCATAACACGTGGTTCTCTACAATGACACGGCCGGATCCCGATGTATCCGCGGAGCCATTACACCTCCGACGATACCCAATCCGGATGGGCACAACGTGTTTTAAACATTGGTTTTAAATAAAAGAGTGAGCTCTTGCAACCCTCTAAAGTTGCCAGTTCTAGGTTATATGAAGCAGTTTTAACAGAGGAGTGAGCTCTTGCATTCAAGGTCTGATATTTACAACACCAAGAATTTTGGGTGAGTTGGTGAAAAGAATGATTTGGCCCTATATCCAAATAACTTCATTAAAGAGGATGGGGTTTTGGATATGATGAACAAGGGGAATTTTGGATGAAGCTTTAAGAGTGTTGCTGATGAACTCCGAAAGTGTTTTCCATGCCTATAGAAAGGGGCTTTTGAGGGTGAAACTGTTGTATATGCTCCTACTCTTGCTGATTTCACACTACAGACTTGGGAGTTAGCCAGAATCTTTTCTATGTGATTCAACTTGCGGTTGCCTCGATGAGTGTTGATGCAGTCGTATAGATTAAAGAAGACTTCTATGGAAGTGAAATTCGAAATTACAGAGGAGCTCGGACAGCTAGGGATCATAACCAACTTAAGAATGTGCTTGCAAGGAAATTGCACTTCGTTTCAGCTTGCATTTGTCTTCTTTGTGTAGCTGAAGGTGTGTCATTGACTTGATCAAGATAATATAAGCAACTCAGTTCATTAATCCTCACAACCAACTTCATATTTCTTTATTAGCTCAAAACTATTGACAGAGAGATATATGCACAGGAAAATAATCAGCAGCTCTATGAAAGGAATAAGAACCCCATACACAAAAGTAACAATTTATTCATGGCCTTTTATAGCTTTGCGAAATTGTGCTAACATCGAGCATATATCAGCAACATTATAGGTATCTCACCAAATAAATTAGTTGTTCAGTTATATATCAGCATAAATAGCACTCTCACTGGGTTATCTTCTTTGGCCCCTGAGTAGCGGCTTTATACAGAAATCACCACCCAAAGCTCTCAAAGCCCATAATATAAACATATTGGTAGCAAAAGAGAGAGTGGGGGGTTACAATTTTCTTTTTATTCTTCGGTCCATTAATCCACAGGATTTATCGACATTGTTGGGTTTTACTTTACAGTTGAAGGTTTTCATCTACAGCTAAATTTCTGGAACTAAAAATAACTTATAAGATGGCCAAGTTTCAGGAATAGAAGTATCCATAATACAGTAACCAAAAAGGAGATGGGATTTTCAATGATAATTAAATTAAACAATAACAACGACGCGCTTACTGATTTAGCAGCCACAAGAATGCCCATTTTTTCCAAGCAATGGTGGCCTGTTTTGATCGAATTGAGCTGAGTTTCAGGGAGGGGGCCTACTTTCTTCCTTCCATGTAGGCCTTTGTCATGAAAGTTCGATTCTTTTCCAAGACACCTGATTTCTAGCAAAGTCTGATAGTTTACCATCTTCCACCAAGATTCTGTCCAGTTTCAAAGAGTTCAGAATAAGAAATTCAATAGCTTCAGTCGATATCCTATGGCATTTTGCAAATATCGCTTGGCAACACTTGAACACAGAGAAAACCACATTATCAGCCAATTCTTGACAGCCCCATAGCTTTATTTCCACCAAGCTTGGACAGGAGGCAAGCATCGATATAAATTCTTTATCGACCAAGCCCTCGTTATAAGACTCATCCAATTGCTTCAGCAGTTTAAAATGCTGCCACAAAGAAGTTAGTACGCCCAATCCTCTCTAAGATATCACAGTTTACGAGCACCAACTCCTCAAGCCTAGAACTTAAAGCTGCACCAAGGAGTTTGATAGCATCACCACTTATCAAGCAACAATTTTAAAAGCGAAGACTTCTCAATCGAAGACAATTCACTTTGCCTGCTAAAGTTCTTCAGAAATTGCAAGGAGAGCCTGTAACAAACTTCTCAAGTGGAGCTCATGAACTGCATCTTTAAACAGAAATGGGTGAAAGCCAAGCAGGGTTAAAAGAACTAATCACATAACATGGTACAACTAGTAATGCGATTTGTCAAATCCATATACTCAGGATGATGGGAGGACTAAAAGCCCAAAACCAAATTAAGGTTTCAGTTCACAAGTATGACTTTATAGGCGGGAGTAACTGCCTAATCACAAACTAATGATGCCAATTTGTTTTTCTCAACTCAGATACTACTAGATCTACCAGAGAAACTACACTGAATTCCCTTTAGAGATCATCAAGAAAATTCACCACTTATTGAATATACTTGGGGTATACATACATCAGAACATGGTTACATTATATATAACTAACTATATCAAAGATCTTTTTAAGAAAAAAGACCTTTGCTTATTACTACAAGAAACCTACACACCGGGCCTTGATGTAACCAGTGGAAGACAAATAGAAAAGCATAAAATATATGCATTGCAAAGGAAAGAAGCAAGATATAATATTATCACAAAAACTAACAACCCAACTCACAACCTTTCACACTGCAAGCTACTTTTGCTACTTGATCACAATATCCAATTTCCTCATAATTGAGCTTTCAATAGGATTTGAAGTTATTCAGAAAGCAAGTTCTTTCTTTCCAGACTTGCTGAGCAGATATCTTGCAAGAAGGAACCCACTTTAGAGCTGTGAATGCCACATAAATAAGCAAGCCAAATTTGTCCCTCGATCATTATCAACCCCCAAAATCTTTTTACCTTTCCTTGTTGGCCCTGAAACCAATTATTTCGTAGCAATTTCTGACTCCCCAAGTGGTCTATCAATCTGCATCCACGTCAAGCCACTAACAACTGTTGACCTACATAGGATTTCTATGTTTGTTTTATTGAAGTAAACATCCATGCATGATATGCATAACAAAGACCTGAGACATGTTGCATGTAAGGAGAAAATAGCAACATCATATATTTCAAACTATTAAATAAAATGATAAAAATGATATAGAGATCGAGTAGGCACATTGAATACAAGCTGCAAATTTTTAAATGGATGCACATAGCAGTAGGAACAATCAAATAGGAATCAAAGATCTACACAACATAGGACTGTAATTCTAACCTTCTGTAATCAAAATAAAACAAAATTATTATATTATTCAAATTGAGCAAAAATAAAAAATTACCCGTGACAATGCCCAGAAACGATCGCAGCTGTAAAAAACCTCTGATGGTTGGGAGACATAGAATGTTATATAGAGAAGAAAAAAGGTTACCAAAGCAATTCATATCTCCTCGATTCGACCTGTCCGACCGTCAAAATATGTCTGGCATGCATCTAATCACAAACAGATGGCCTGAAACCCTGAACCTATGACCTACGAAAGGAAAATCTGGCAAAGAGAGAGCGCCTCGGAAGTCCAACGATGAAATTTGGAAAAGTTTGTCTACTATTCTCAATGGACCACCATCTAATTCTGTTCAGTAAGAAGCCTATAACGTGGCGCTGGACCAATATATGTCCTGAACAAACCATGTGTGGCCATAAAAGTTTTATTGTTTTGACACGTACATCCAAAGGTAACATATAGTAAATATGTTATTTTTTCTAAGGCAAAGTTTGGGTAATGTATTAGTCATAAATTGGCTAGAGAGATGACTCTCTATGGCCTTATAAGTATTCTTTGGCCCTCTGGTAGTTTAAAAGACAGTGAGAATTGGGGTCTTGGTACATTCATTTGGAGTATGTTTGACAGAATTGCATAGCCTGCTTGGTTGTGGGTGATGTTTGGGTTTAGGCCAAACTCTTCTCTTATTGCTGGTGAAAGCTTGTTATTATGGTTGGCATTTCCTCTCTCCTCTCTATCACCACCCATATGCTTTGCCATGTGTCCGGCACATTCACCATGAGATTGCCACTCTGTCCTCATCAACACCAGATACCAACGCATCACGCACTTCAGCCATAATTTTCACAATGGATCCTCCACCATTTCAACAATCAATAGAATCTCAACGTGGTTCACAAAGAAAATCAATTAGAACCCTTTTCTTATAATTTTTATTGCAATTTAATGAGAACTATGACTTCTCACGGCAATTAACTACAAACCTGTATTTTTTTAAAATTACTTCATCCAATAGAAGTCAATACTGAAGGCACATTAATTTGGGGATTGTATTTTCAAAACGATTTATTGATGTGTAGCTCCGAGAAGATTTCATAGTTTTTCACTAGGCTTACTCTTTCTTCACTAGGCTTACTCTAAAGATAGATTTCAGTACCCGTCATGCTCCTATCCATTATATTCCTCTTTTCAGCTACTCCACACTGTTCGAATGAACAAGGCATAGTGGTTTGATGCACTATCCCATGTTCTAGGCAATAGGCATAGAATATGCGAGAAGTGTGCTCAACACCTCTATCATATCTTAAATTTTTGATCCTGTGCCCTATTGGGTTTTCTATTTCTGCCTTATTTCTTTGAATTTTTCTAGTGCATCGCTTTTGCGGTGGATCAATTAGGGTGTCCATATTGGGAAAATCATTAATAAACATGATGAATTACCCTCGATAGTTGGAGGCCACACTCATTGGTTTGCAAATATCCGAGTAAGCTAACTCTAAAAGCTAAATAACCCTATGGGCCTTGTTATGAAACATTTTGGTCATATTTCCATGTAGATATGCCTTAAAAAATTGCAACAAATATCTTTGAAAAATCCATCTTTTCCGAGTCTCTCAATCTTGGCTTTTCCTACATAACATAGCCTAAGCAACAAGCGATTTCATTAGGGGCACAAAAAGATCACGGTGGCAAGCTCAACAGAAAAAGAAATAATGTGATGCAGGAAGAAAAGATAGGTTAAATCCACCATTTTTTTGAACCTTAAAAAAATAAAATCAGCAATAATGGAGAAAGAACATCTGTAAATCAAGCTAAGAGAAGAAGAGCTTTCTTCTTTCATAATTTAAATTCATTCCTATAATGTATGCTGCCCAAAATATGACATCCAGCTATTTATTGGCCTATGGAACCCTAATTTAACTTGAGATCCAAGTAAACATTTAAGACTCTAAAATACCCTAAAATAATATTAAAATTCCAAAAATACCTATGTGAACAATAACACTTGAACAGTAATAATAAACAATACTATGAATATCAAATCCTAAAAATAAATCTTAAAACTAAAATCAAACTATACATCCTTTAAAGTTAGATAGAAATTAAAAATAAGCCCTCCATCATTCGCTTCTAGTTGGAGAAAACTCGTCCTCAAGTTTTGAAATGTGCTAAGATGAATTCAGCATCAAATCCGCATTCTTCAGCTTTCTTCTTTTTTGCTGCCTCAAATACCATTTGTGGTAAAAATAATTTCTCAGGAAACAAATCCTGATATATATTTTGAGGAATCAATGCAAATTTATCTAATTCAACTATTCTTGAGCTCCCATTGAAAATCATGAAGGAACCGATTTTTAGTACTTTAGAGGCTTTCTCGATATATATCTCATTACTCTCTGAAACCAGGGACACAATTTGCAAATTTTGAGTCGACCACATCTGATTCCAATGCCCTAAATCTCCTAAACATTCGACCTCTTTGATATACTTGAGAACTTCATCTTTGTCTTTGTCAACGATCGGTTCACTGAAATCTTAATCATCATCATAAATTGGATCTCTTACAAGATCTTGTTCATCATTTAAGTACATACCAAAAATTGATGGCAAATCCCAATCTACAACATGCTGATTTTCTATACGATCTATGCCACAATCAACCTTGTTCTCCTTCAAATCATATAGATCAACTAAATCACATGATCTATTCTATCGAACATGAGGCCTCCCAACGCGGAGCGTATGCATAGAACGGGAGGTTGAAGGCAACTTCATCATTCCGCTCCAATTTTGAGTCGAACTCTGATTTGCGTCATTTTTCATAAAAACCCTCGCGATTTGGATCTATCTTTGTAGATTCCTCTTCTTTAGGGCACGCTACCCGCTTGCATAGTAATAGCTCTGTAATCCTCTCTGTCAAGTTGTTGATTTCCTAGTGTAGTTGGATCAGATTGGCATCCCTACAGCTAAAACCTCCACAACAAGCCATCGCAATCTTCAGCTTTCCTTGAACCATGCACTAATACCACTTGATGCAAGAAGGACAGGCGGGAAGTTAAATCCACCATTTTCTTGACCTTAAACAAGTAAAATCAACAATAATAGAGAAAATATATGGCTGTAAAACATGCCAAGAGAAGAACTTTCTTCTTTTATAAATTTAAATTCATTCCTATAACATATGTCTTCCAAAATATGGCATCCAACCTTTTATAAGCCTATGAAACCCTAATTTATCTTGAGATCCAAGTAAACATAAGACTCTAAAATACCCCTAAAACAATACTAAAAGTTTATAAATACCCCTCTGAACAGTAACATAAGAACATTAACGTGTGAACAATAATTGTAAATAGTAATATGAATAGTAATTGTGAATTACAAATAAAACAAATATAAGACAACCCTAGATCCCAAAAAAAAAAAAATTAAAATCCAAAAAATAAATCCTTAAACTAAAATCAAAATATACATCCTTTAAAATTAAATAGAAATAAAAAATAAGTGTAATTTTTCCCTTCATCAAAATGTCGATCATTGTAGTTATAGTAAGGCTTCTTAAGCATCACGTCACGTTTTTAAAAATGCCAAAATTATAAGATCAATTTCACGTGTATCCATGGTGAAGAACAACTCTTTTTGAAAACAAGTGATCAACCAGCATAAGGTCACATCATTTAGCAACTTTCCATTTGAACATCCTTAATAAGTACATAGGTTTCAACTTTCTTTCATTATACCAACTTGACACAATGATCAAAAAGTCTACCATTGGGTCAAGAAAAGAGGGGAAAAGGAGTGAAAAGGAAGACTTACTATTCCATTTGGCTCACATATCTCATCACTTTTAACATTATAAAAAAGGGGCCCATCCACAAACAACCATAACCAAATTCAAATACCAAGAGAAACTCCAACTCCCAAAATATATTCAACAATAAGATAAAGATATCACCCCAAAAAAAATTGTTCAACGCCGAAACCAGTCATTTGACAGCCTATTATCTAGTTCACTTGAAAAGAGTAGTTATTTCGATGTAGAGTCCTATTTATCCTCATCTAAGTTTGTATGTATGTCACCCTTATCCAATTCATTTTTATGTGAGCTGTCTCTCTTCCTTCTCTTGTAAATTATGATTTTCCTCTCTTCATTAAGTTTGAACACACCATTAGAGAGGTTATCCTCTATGGAGCTCTCATGCATACTATCTTGAATAGCAAAGGAGAGGGAGAAGTTACCATAAGAACCAGCCTGTCATGTTAAATGAGTCATGCCTCTCTAGCCAATTCCTCCTCTTCAAGATTTGCCTCTATCTGATCGAAGGTCAGGGGAGGGTTGCATCCCACGAGGTTCATGGTGCAATAATCCCATTCCATAGGAAAGGTACCAAGTAACATGGTTGTCGCTGTCAAGTGGCATGTTAAAGCATCGAGCATGACAAGGAAGTGAGCCATATCAAAAAGCACGTGCAAAGAGACAGTGAGGAGGTATGCTAGGGTTTCGTTATGGATACATCCTATGGTGATGATTGATGCTCCTATGGCTTCCTCACCCCCTCTTGGTGTTCCTCTCCGCATGGAGGGGAAACCTCCTGATCCTCAGGGGCTTCTTTCTCGTATCTACGATAATAGTTTTGCTTATTGTTATGGCAGTGCTGGTCCCCTAGAGGCTATGATCATATCTGCTCATATTAGCTTTGTTTCTGATGCTCGTAGATCCTCTTTTTATGGTGGTCATCATCTCGATAATGATGGGGATGGATCTGGTTATGATCCATTCATATCTGGTCACAACATTAATGGCAGAGATAAACATGGATCTAACAGATCTGATAACGTTATTTTACATGTGGATATTATTGATAATCGTAGATCCTCTTTTAATGGTGGTGATCATCTTGATGGGGATGGATCTGATTATGATCCATTGATTACTGGTCACAACATTTATGGCCGAGATAAACCTGGATCTAACAGATCTGATCATGCTTTTTTGCATGTGAATGATATTGGATCTAGTCTCATGTGATCTGGAGATTGCAGAAAGGCGAAGAGGATATGATCCTTGACCCTGCACCTCGGGATGGAACTGGTAGCAAGGGTGTTTATGATTCTGGTGATCTAGTTTCAAAGGTAGATTCTAGTGCTACCTATCGTGTGGTATTTGGATCTGGTTATGTTGAGATGCTTGCAAAGGATAATATTATGGAGGAGGATAATGGTGCTGCCTTTCGTGTGGTATCTGCCTATGGCGGTGACTTCAAATCTGGTTATTCTCCGATGCCTATGAAGGACAATATCTTTGGTAATACTCCTAAACATCATATCTCTTCTCGAATTGACTTACAAAATGCTTCTTCTATACGTTCTAGTTCTTGATTGGGTGTGTCTTCTGTTGGTAATGTTTATATAAAAAAGGAATGGCTTACTTGTTAGCCATGGTAATGTGAACGCTAAATCTATGGGTCACAATCATTTGGGTTGTGTTTCTAGTTCTACAGAAGATAGTCGTGAGGCTGCCCACATTGGGAAAGTTTTGGGCCTTTGAAGTTCTGCCCCTTGCAATGATATTGATCATGTTTTTAACTCTAGTGGGGATGCCAATGATGCTGAGTACAATCAA